GTGAGCCCCTAGCCTGGCTGCCGGGGCCCAGGATGGCCGCCTCCTCGAGGGCCGCCTCCCCCTACAGGCCGGCTCTGGCCCCCACCCTATCTCGAGAGGAAGGGTTGGGGGCGGCCAATGTGGGAGGGGGGTGATGATGATGACTAGGGGGGAGAAGGACGAGGAGGAGGAGGAAAAACACGAGGAGGATGATGATGATGATGATGAGGAGGAGGAGGAGGAATAACTATAAGACAAATGTGAATAATAATGATACTAATCGCAGCCATCGTACTTACAATACTAAGAATACGACTACTACGAATGCGAATCATCTTAACAAGCCTAATCATTCTTATAACAACAATAAGTCTAGTCAGACTCAGAAGAATAGTAATATTATTATTACGCCACTTATACGACCACATTTTTTTTGACATATTGACAACACGAAGCATGCTCATCATACTCGTCATACGAAGTACAACACGAGTAGTAATGCTACCAACATTAATGATCATAACGCATAAGAAGAACATGCTAATACGACTAATAATAAGACGAATACTCAGACGACTACGAAACATAAGGATGTGAGTCTTCCTCAGAAGAGTACTAGTTATAGTAAAACGCATAACAAGACGTATCACAAACCATACACTACTACGAACATTTACAATTATACAAAGTGCAGCAAACAACATAATACGACGACTAAGAGTAATATTCATACGATGAGTAATCGTAATAAGGCGGCTCATACGACTACGAACAATATTAACAATACTACTATTACTAATACTCATACTAAGAGGACTAACTCGTACACGAATACGAAACATTTCATGGAGAAAAGAAGACGATTGACAATACTCACAATATGAATAGTAATAGTCCTAATGGCATTATTAGTATGAATACGATTAATATCAACAATATTAAGAGTACTACGAGACGTGCTGGTAACACGCATACTACCAATATCAATATCACAACGAAGAATACTATTCCACATAATCATATCACTACTACTACTACTTCTACTACTATCACGACTACTACTACTACTGCTACTACCACCACTACCACCACCACTACTACTACTACTAGTACTACTACTACTACTACTACTACTACTACTACTACTACTACTACTACTACTACTACTAGTACTACTACTACTACTACTACTACTACTACTACTACTACTACTACTACTACTACTACTACTACTTACTACTACTACTACTACTACTACTACTACTCTACTCCTACTCCTACTCTACTACTACTACTACTACTACTACTACTACTATACTACTACTACCTACTACTACTACTACTACTACTACTACTACTCTATACTACGACTACTACTATTACTACTATACTACATTACTACTACTACTACTACTTCTACGACTACTTACTACTACTACTACTACTACTACTACTACTACTACCACTACTGCTACTACTACTACTACTACTACTACTACTACGACTACGACTACTACGACTACTACTACTACTACTACTACTACTACTACTCCTTTTACTGCTACTACTTCTACGAAAAATAACAGTACAAATAATAAGACGAATCGTACACAGAGGAGGAGGATGGGGAAGAGGAGTCTCCTCCTGCTTCTATTTCGGATTCTTATACCCCATCCTGTTCCTCCCCCCACCTCTTCAAAATCGCTCACCAAGACGTCTCCGGGGTGCTGTCTGGACAGAATTTCGAGGTGAATGATGCCTCCTGAGCCCAATGAAAACCCCAGATGCTTTCGGAGGCCCCTGGAGCCAAAAGCGCGTCAGAACATGGATCCTCGACCCTTGATCCTCGAAGCACGATCCTTCTTCCTCGATGCCTCGATCCTCGACCCTCGACCTCGACCCTGGATCCTCGACCCCTCGATCCTTTACCCTGGGTCCTCGATCCTCGAACCATCGACCCTCGACCCGGGATCCTCGAACGCTGCATTCTCGACCCTGGACCCCCATCCTCGATCCTGCTTCTCCCCTCGTGGCGTCCTTGCGTGGTCCGCCACATTTGGCCTGCCCGCCGCTCGAAGTCCTGGTGCGCGGCAGGCGCCCCGTGTGTCTTGGCGGAGCCATCGGGGCCCTCTCCCCGCCTGCACTCCGAGGGCTCTGGATCCTCCTGCGGGGTGGCCTCCCCCACCACCCCGTCGTTTCGTGGGTTTCTGTCGGCTGACAGTGCAGACATCCGACGTCCCGATTTTTTCGAGACACGGGCCCCCCGGCCTCCCGACCGCATCCCGAGTCGCGTTTCTTGACGGTCCCGAGGCCCGGCGAGGGCCCCAGGGGAGGCCAACAACGACGAAAAGCCTCCGCCTCGATTTTTTCGAGACGCTCGATGTCTGGCACGAGACGTCGTGCGACTGGGCTGCTTGTGCGACGACGGCGTCGCTGGGAAGGACCTCTTCGTCGTCGGGGCCTCTCGCCTCTCTCGAGGGACCAGACACCCGCCCCCCACGCGCGGGCTCGTGCGTGCTGCCGTCGTGGCCCCTGGATGAGCCACGCGCTCGGAGCCAGAATCCCAGCAGTGGAGGGATTCTCCGAAGGGCTTAGGCGCCCTCCTCCTCCTCCTCCTCCTCCTCCTCCTCCTCCTCCTCCTCCTCCTCCTCCTCCTCCTCCTCCCCCCCTCCTCCTTCTCCTCTTCCCTCCGCCTACTCCTCCTCCTCCTACTCCTCCTCCTCGGGTCGCCTACGGCCCTCGGGGAAACCGTACAAGTCCCAGACATCCGGCGCCTCGTTTTTTTGTTCGAGGCACGGGCCCCGTCCTCTCGTCGGCGGCGAGCGATGGGGTGAAGTGAGAAGGAGGAGGCCTTCTCGGAAGCGGCGGGGCCTCTCAGAAGCCCTCCTGGCCTTCTGAGAAGCTCCCTGCGTCGTCGGGGAAGGCTTGGAGAACTTCTCAGGAGGCGGGGGGGCTTCCGGGCCTTCTGAGAAGGCCCGCCCCCTCTCACTTGCCCCGCGAGGCCGGCCCCCGCCCCCTCGACCACTCTCCCGGGTCTCTTTTCTTCGTCCTTCCGAGCTGCTTTTGGACGGCCTCGAGGGCCCCGAGAGGCCGAGCAAAGCGAGGGGAGCCCGTGTCTGGATGCCTGGAGACGCCGGCTGCCTGGAGTCGCCCGTCGTGGTCGCGAGTTCCCCCCCTCCTGCTCCTCCTCCTCCTCTGCCTCCTCCTCCTCCTCCTCCTCCTTCTCCTCCTCCTCTTCCTCCTCCTCCTCCTCCTCCTCGTCCTCCCCTCCTCGCCCCCCCCCCCCCCCCCCGCGGGAGGCCCTTCGAGCCCGCCGCCCCGCTCGGCCCCGTGCAGGCCCGCCGCCCGCGGCGCGGGGGCCGACCTCGCTCCGCGAGTGGCGCGTTGCGCGCGCGCGCGCGCGCTCCGCTGCTCAGAGCGTGAATTACCTACCCCGCTTCGCTTCCTCCTCCTCCCCCTTCCCCTCCTCCTCCTCCTCCTCCTCCTCTTCCCTCCCCAGCCCTCCTCCTCCTCCGTCCTACTCCTCCTCCTCCTCCTCCCCAGCCTCCTCCTCCTCCCTCCTCCTCCTCGTCCTCCTCCTCCTCCTCCTCCTCCTCCTCCTCCCTCGCGCGCGCGCGCTCCGCTTCGGAAACCCCGCGCGCCTCCTCGTCAAGCGGCCTGACCAGTACAGGCCGTAGTTTGGCACCGTTTGGTATCTCTTGGAAGGGGGGGTGGTCAAGAGCGAGGCAGGTTTGTTTTCCCCCTAGCTTCGGAAGACCCCAGGCCCTCTCGGGTCGTGCACAGTCAGGAGGGAACAAAAACACAGACACCATAAATCGTCGACCCCCAGGAAAATAATATGGGAAAAGATAGAAAGTGGGGGGGGAGACGAAAACCCAGGAAGTATGGGAAAAGATGGGGAATCTTTGTATTTGTGTGTATTTGTTTGTGTGTGCCTGGGCCCCTTCGAACAGTCGCGACGGGTTTCGGCCTCCAGGGGCCCCCGTCGGGCCTCGGGGCCCTCTGGAAGCGAGTCTCGGCGGCGAGCCCGGGGGGGACGTGAGGGGGGGAAGGCCTTCGCCGAAGGCTCGGGAGCCCCCCGGGCGTTCTGAGAGGTGTTCGGAGCCCTTCCCGAAGACGCCGAAGACTTCTCAGGAGGCCGGAGGGCCTCTGAGAAGCGCCGCCGCCTTCTGAGAAGGCCTCCTCCTTCTCGCTTCCCCCCCTCGCTCGCCGCCGGCTTCCGGCTTGCGAGCAGAGCTCACGACGGGCTTCGGCCTCTGGGGGCCTCGTCGGGTCTCGGGACCGTCAAACAACGACTCAGGAGGACACGCCGGCCCTGGGGGATGGGTCGGGATCTCTGGGGGTCGACGCTATGCTTGTGGAAGTCGATTAATGGAGAGGAAGCATGTTGCCAAACAATTTACAGATGTCTAAAACATGTTTCAATCATTTTCAGAACATGTGTTACACATTTTAAAGACATCTTTAATTCAATGATAGGATTGTTAGGGTGTCCATTGTCGTGGCATCCACAGCTCTGGGGGTCGACGCTATGCACAAATCATGGCGTCGGGGGTCTGGGCTATATTCGGCCGCGGGCCGCTCCAGCTGCGACGGCTCGGTTTCAGCGGTGGGCGAGATCGGCGCGCAGCCTTACCGCTGCGCGCAGTGTGCGCGGGCCCTAGCGGGCCTGCGCCGGAGGACGCACGCGTGGCCGCTTTGCCAACAGGATCATCCTCATCCTTCTCCCGTCCTGGTCCTGGTCCTCCTCCTCCTCCTCCTCCTCCTCCTCCTCCTTCCCTTCTCCTCTGCGTTTTCGTGCGCACGCGTCTGCAGGTAACTCGGTGTGATTATTTGGGATGGTCCAGCCAGTTCGGTTCGGACCTCGCCGGGCCACGCCTGGCCCCACCGCCGGGCCAGGCCTTTCCGGGGCCCGTGCGGTTCCAGCCAGTTCGGTTTGGCCGCTCGAGCCAGTTTCGGCCGACAAGTTCGGTTCGAATTGATTGGTCCGGTTCCGATGGGTTCGGGCTCCAGTTTGACCAGCTCGGTTGCAGAAGCCGTCGGTTCACGGTTACAAGCTCGGTTCGGAGTCACCATTTTTTTTTGTGTCGGGTCGGACGGGGCTGGGACGAGGATACAAAACCGTTCCAGAGCGTTCGGGAACGCTCTCAGAGCGTTCCAGAACGCTCTGAGAAGGCCGCGGCGCCCGATATATTCTCCAGAGCCGCCAGATCTACGAGGTTCTCGATTTATCCTCTCCCGATTGTATCCTCGTCCTAGCTTCGTCTTAGCCCTTCTGTTTCTTTCAATCCGGGCGTTTCGCCCTTGTCGTCGCCTCCGAGCTCGCCCCGTTTGCGATCCCCTCCCCTGTCGTCCGACCAGTTCGTGGTGGCTTGCTTGCTGGGTGCAGCCAATCAGAGGTCCAAAGCTGATCTGGTTCGTTTTACTATCTGTGACGAGCGAACAATGCACTCTCAAATCCATCGGCAGGTCGGAGGGAGGTGGAGTGGCTATGGGTATGGGTGCGGGTTGTCGGGCCCCTGGGGGGGCTCCCGTTCGAGCGGGGACCCCCATCCGACAACACGCACCCATAGCCCCTTCCGTCCCCCCTATTGGTCTGTGTGTGTTGTTCGTTCGTCAAGATGCACGTCTTCTGACCTGACTTTACCGTCCGTTTCGAATGGGTGCTACGTGGTACGGCCAGGCTCATGTGGCCAAGCTCAGTGACTTGTGCATCAGCCATTTGTCACTCGCGCGGACCAGAGGACAGCTTAGCAGTGTGCGTCGCAGTTTGGTGCCACTGCGATTGCTGACCAAACTGTTTCTGGTGGGGCTCAGGCCCAGACCCTCGGCGACTCGAGAAACCAGTTTTTGGCTCCCGGACTGTCATCAACGGTTCGGGACGAAAAACTGGCCCCAAGTGGAGGTGTCGAGAGATCCGGGAGTGGGTGACTCGAAAAGTCGAGTTGTCGGACGTTTGTGGGTGATATGCTTTCAGGGTCGTACATGGCAGGGTCTTTGACATGAGCATCCTGGAGGCGTGGCACAACCATCGACTCCCGTGCGACGGGACTGGAGACGACGTTGTGGGACGCGTCAGAGAAGGTGCGGTAGGCTCGTGTCGTGTCGACGCGGCGACGCGGTTGAACGCCACCAGTGGCCCAGAATCGGCAGAGCGGAGAGACGTGGCGATCGAGCAGCCGCTGATCGTTCGAGGCCGAACGCCCCGCGGCGCCATACGCCAATGCTGGGGTCGTCACGACCCGAGCCTGCCGCACGGTGCGCGGGGAGGCCCGAGACGAGGCGGGGGGGGCCAGGAGCTGTGCTGGGGAAGGCCCGCTGCCTGCGCTCGCCTTGGGTCGCCGATTTTCGGTCGAAGCCCTTCTGTCGCAGGTCCAGAGGTTGACACCAATACCAAGATCGGCGGTGTGCCTCCACCGAGGGAAGACGATCCCGATCTCGGCGATGGTGGTAATATTCTCGCTTCCAAAGTGACCGAAATATTACCACCAACACCGAAATCTAGGATCATCTTCCCCATGTGGAGGCAACCCCCTGTGCTGGTGTTGGTGCCAATTTCCAGGCCTCCAATTCTGGCGGATCATGAGCCTTTCGCATTTTCTCGGCCTGCCCCAGTGATCAGGAGTACACCACACACTCGCAATGCACACCGTCACCTATGCCACGGCGGCATTTTTCGTACGCATCGGAGCCCGAGCCGTGCAGATGCTCGGTCACGACACCGAGAGAGGCGAGGATGAGTGGTTGCGTGGGATCCGCACCCATGGCGACGTGACCTGCGAGGTGCAGGGTGAATGTATTGTCGGCTCTGGCTTGGGTACTTGCACGGTGATGGTGGATCAGGCCAAGGCGCTTCCGATGGGGAGTACCGACTCGGGGTATGATTGCGAATTCGCTCTCAACAATACCGAGAGTAGCCCGATACATCGCGATGGTACAACACGCGCGACGTCGTACCACAGATCAGCCCGGTACAGCATGCCGAAGTCGGACATCACCATCAATGGGCATTCGCCAGATTCGCATTGGAATATTTGCTCGCCGAAGCACGATCGTCGCAGTTTGCATGGAGCAGGTGTTGAGAATTATTGTTACTATGTCAATGGTCTCTGTTTCATCTGGGCTTCTCCGTGCTCTGGCGGATGTTCTGAATTTGTCACTTTGCCGTGGAAATCGTCGTTCTGCCCAGGTGGACTGCGCTACGCCACGTCAGCGGAGTGGGATTCTGCTAAGCCTACTTTGGATACGAACAGAGCTGAGTTCTACAGTAGATGCGCAGCTAGCCAATTGGATCCACGTTGGAACCACTGCGACCAGTGGAATACTTTCGTGCGGGTGGAGGATCGTTCATACAACGAACTGGTATTGGTGTGCGACGGCATCATCGCGGATATCTAGCAAGTCAGTCAGTCGCCTCATTCGAGCCAGCCAGCCGCCTCGAGGCTGTTCTAAAGCTCCCCTCAACTTACCTTGGGCATGGATGATTGGTAAACAGAAAAAAGCGTCGAAGCTCTTGGGTTTTGTACGTGCGTTCCGAGGTGTTACGCTCCAGGCAAACAAGGTTGGCGTAGATGGGTTCGGGGGTTCGCGCCGCGCCACCGATGCATCGGCTATGCCGCGCTCTCCAGAGCTCGATTTCCGTTGCGCACCACCATGCCTGGCCAGGGCCGTTTTGGGCCCTATTACCAGCCTCGAACGTATCCCTATCCCTAAGATTGACACGCCAAAAGGCGATGACAATCTTAGGGATTCGCCCTCAAAAAATAAGGGAATCCCTAAGATTGGCATCGTGATGAGGAGATGCCCAGGATAGGGATAGGGATTTGTTCCAGGCTGGTAATCCTAGGCTGGCGTGTACGCAGACCCTCCTGGCTGCATCGGTGCCTTCTGCGTGCGACCTCCTTCTCCATCCCGACGTCGCCGATGCATCGCTGGTGCTTGGGCGATGCGGTGCGATCCTCCGCTCCCACCCTCTCCTGTCCTATCTCCAGACCTGCCTCGCATTTTTCTCAAGACGAGGACCTCTGGAGATCCCGTTCTTTTTTTTTTGTGTGTGTGTGTTTTTTTTTGTTTGTTTGTTTGTTTCCAGAACGGTTTGTCACGCCGGGTTGTCTTTGGAGGGTCCCGGGGCCCGGCACGGGCAAAATCAGGTGTTCGTGCCATTGCGGGCCCCGCGAGGGCCCTTTTCTGGGGCGCCGTGGGGCGTGCACGCGGAGGTCCCCCTGGGCCTCAGAATCGCTTGACCGACCCTCCCTCCCTCCCTCCCTCCTCCTCCTCCTCCTCCTCCTTCTCCTTCTCCTCCTCCTCCTCCTTCTCCTCCTCCTCCTTCCTTCTCCTTCTCCTCCTCCCCCTCCTCCTCCTTCTCCTCCTCCTCCTCCTCCCTCTCCTCCTCCTCCTCCCCCTCCTCCTCCTCCTCCTCCTCCTCCTCCTCCTCCTTCTCCCCCTTCTCCTCCTCCTCCTTCTCCTTCTCCTACGTCCTTCCCTTCCTCCAGTCAACCCGCATAGTAAGGATGAGCGACCTTCCCAAGGATACCCCTTGTATCCTTGCCCCCTCGGTCCATCCTTGGCCGCCTTGGTTGGCCGCATCCCGCTCGAAGAGCTTCGAAAGGGGCGTCCAAGGCCCTTGCATCCTTATCCCGCGTCCTCACTATACGGGCTGACTGTAGCCCCATCCCCGTCCCCATCCGGACCTCCACCATCTCCCCCCCACTCCCCGGTTGGGGAGATGTACCCCTCGAGGCCAGAAGGCAACGGCCTATAGGGGGGCACATCGGCAAGTGGGCCCGGGGGCCCGCGCCCGTGGGGGTACGGCAGGTTCCCGCGGCGTTGGCACGCCGGGGACGCTGGCGAAGGCGTTCAAGGTTGAATTCTGCGACGCGGAACCACCGAGGTACGCGGTGACGCCACTGGACCCGACGGAGTTCAACCTTGAACGATGTCAGAGGCCTTCGCGCGCGCCGACGCCGCGCGAACCTACCGTAGGGGTCGGTCAAACGATGCTCATGGGCCTCAGCGGAAGATCGGAGGTTGATAGACCTACCTTGACACGTCGATTAAGGCATTGGCCGTTTTCGGTTCGCGGGAGGGCGTCGCGGCTGTCATTTTTGCGGGTCCAGGTCCGTCGGTTTCGGTCCCCGGCCGTTTTCGCTAAGGGGAGGCTTACTAAAGGGAGGCTTGTGCACCGCCGAGAAGAGCTGGGACCCCCCCGGGCCGAAGGGTGACCCGGTCACCCTTCGGCCAGCGCTGCTCGGCCCACGCCGCGCGAACCTGCCGTAGGGGTCGGGCAAGCGATGCTCATGAGCCTCAGCGGAAGATCTGAGGTTGATAGACCTGCCGTAGGGGTCGGGCAAGCGATGCTCCTGGGCCTCAGCGGCAGAGCCGGGACCCCCCCGGGTCGAAGGGTGACCCGGTCACCCTTCGGCGGGCGCTGCTCGCGGCAGTCTGCACGCGCCCACGCCGGCGCCCTGAGCGCCCGGGGGCCCTCCTCCTGGGCCCCCCCCCCGGCGTCAGCGAGCAGGGCGGCCGCGCGGCAGGGCAGCCCGCGGCCGCGGGTCGAAGAACAGCAACGGTTGTGGAGGACGATCAATGGAGAGGAAGCATGTTGCCAAACAAATTCCAGATGTCTAAAACATGTGTTGAAGATGTTTCAAGCATGTAAAGCAACATGTTTAAAACCGGTTTGGAACATGTTTCCGACGTTTTAAACACATGTTATATTCAATGATAGGACTGTTAGGGTATCCATTGTCGTGGCATCCACAAAACAACGGCATGAACACAAACTCTTGGCGGCGCGGGCGGATTTCTTGGATCTGCGCTGGGACCTTGTGGCGGCGCCTCTGGCGCCGCCCCTGGCGCCAGAGGCGCGCCAGGGAGGGGGGGGGGTCCAGCTCATCAAGCGCCAGGGAGGGAGGGGGGAGGCGGGAGGGGGGGGGGGGGGGCGCGGCAGGGAGAGGGGCGTGGGTGGGGGGAGGCGCGCCAGGGAGGGAGGGGGGAGGGAGGGAGGGGGGAAATCCGCGCGTCCAAAAGGTTGCTTCTGCCGTTTTTCTTCTTCCTGCGGGCGAGTCCGCCAGCCAGCTTGAAACACATCCCCATCCCCATGTTGGGCGTCAGCTGACCTGGGTGCCGATCTCGAGGACCCCCCCAGCTCTCCTGAGGGCACCTCCCCGGGATCCTCCTGGCCTCTGGCTTGCCGATCTTGGGGATCGGGATCAGCTCCAGGCTGGTTGGGAGTGCCTCCACGTCCGCCGCCTCGGGGTGGTGCCCTGGAGTCTCCAGGGCCTCTTCGGGGGGGCGTGGGCACGGCTGTCTCTGCCTGCCCAAGTCTCTTCGTCGGGCGCGCGGGAGAAAAAGCGCAGGAGGACCCAATCGAAACACCAAAAACGCCATAAGCATAAACTTGTGGCGCTCCGCGCGGAGTTCTTGGGTCCGCGCCTGGGCCCCTCCGGCGGGGCTTCCGGCTCCGCCTCTGGCGCGCTCCGCGCGCCAGGGAGGGGGGTCCAGCGCAGATCCAGGAAATCCGCGCGGAGCGCCTGAAGTTTATGTCTATGCTGCTTTTTCTTCTTGTATCGAGGGGAGGAGCCCATGCCTCAGACGCCGCGACCTTTTCGGCGCCGTTTTTCTGCTGCCGTTGGGCTGCATTTCGGGCTCCGGAGTCCCGTGTCGGGACCGGCGGCCGTCAGCGAAAGGATCTGGGGGCAGAAACGGTTCCTGCGAGTAGGTCGAGAGGTCCGTGGCGCGCTCGTTCACAAGTCGGCACGCCTGAGGTTCGGAAACGGAGGACGACGAGGACGTAGTATGACTCTTGGGAAGCATAGCCGCGTATTGTTTGTGTTGCCGCGCCCTTCGTGGACAATGAGGAGGGGAGGGGGATAAAAGGATAATGAGAGGGCGAATAATGGGGGCACAAATGAAGAAGTCGAGACGGGGGGGAGGGGGGGAGGAGGACGACGATGATGAACAACAAGCAGGAGTGGGACGAGCAGCAGGATCATGGTGATAACGATAATGGCGATGAGGGTGAGCAGTAATTAGCAGTTCATGAGAAGCTGCATGTGGAGGAGGGTTGCGCGCCCGCCTCCAGCTCCTGCTGAACTTCCCCCCTCCTCCTCCTTCTCCTCCTTCTCCCCGCCTCCTCCTTCTCCTTCTCCTCCTCCTCCTCCTTCTCCTCCTCCTCCTCCTCCTCCTCCTCCTCCTCCTCTACTTCGAAGAAGAAAGCACGGCATAAACATACATTACACCTGAGAAAACCCAATCAGTGGATGATTTGAAAATTAATATTATGATCCTTGAGATCGACTGAGATCGACAATGAGATCGATAGTGGAATCGATAGTGAGGACGATTATCAGGTCGATCGCGAGACTGATAATGAAATCGATTCAATGAGATCGATAGTGAGATCGATCGCGAGATCGCTCATGCGATCTCTAGTGAGATCGCCTGTGAGATCGATAGTGAGATCGATTGTGAGATCGATGGTGAGGTCGATAGAGAAGTGGTTAATGAGATCGATCGTGAGACCGATCGATAAGAAGATCGACCAGGAACCCGGGAACCCAGGAACCTCGCCGCTATGCCACTATGCCGCTGCTGCTGCTGCTGCCGCTGTTGCTGCTGCTGCTGTTGCTGCTGCTCGTTACGCCGCTGCTGCTCCTGCTGGTTGTACCGAGGCTGCTGCTGCTGCTGCTGCTGCTGCTCCTCGTCCCTGCCGCTGCTGCTCCTCCCCCCTCTTGTTGCTGCTCCTGCTCGTTCTGCCCGTCGCTGCGGCTGCTGCTGCTGCCACTCACATATTCTCGACGCCCTCCTCTGCCCTTTCGCTCCTCGACGACGACGACGATGATGAACGACGAGGCGGAGGACGACGAGGACGTGGTCACGAGGACGAGGGCGAGGAAGGCGACGAGGACGACGAGAACGAGGACGACGGGGACGACGAGGACGACGAGGACGAGGACGAGGACGACGAGGACGAGTAGGACGAGGACTTCGACGACGACGAGGACGGCGGCGAGGAGGGAGGCGACAGGCGCCACAGACGACGAGGAGCGCACGGCGGCAGCGGCGCGTCGAGGTGGCCGCGGCGCCGCCCTACGGCTGTGGCTTCGCCGTCAGCCCCCCGGTCGCGGTCTCGCCCCCGCGGTCGCCGACAGGCCTTCTCGCCCTGTCGTCGGCTGCTGCTGCCGCCGCCGCCGCCGCCGCCGCCGCCGCCGTCGTCGTCGTCGTCGTCGTCGTCGTCGTCGTCGTCGTCGTCGTCGTCGTCGTCGTCGTCGTCGTCGTCGCCGCTCGTCGCTCGTCGGGCCTCGCCGTCCTCGTCCCTGTCACCGCCGTTGTCCTCGTTTTCGTCGGCCGTCGCTCGTCGCTTGTCGGTCGTCGCCTGTCGATATTGTCTCGCTGCGTGTCGCTCGTCGCTCCTCTTCGCCGTCGTCGTCTCTGGTCGTCGTCGCTGTCGCCGTCGCCGCCGTCGTCGCCGCCGTCGTCGTCGTCGTCGTCGTCGTCGTCGTCTTCGTCGTCGCTCATTGCTCGTCGCCCGTTGTCGTCGCTCGTAGCGCGTCGCTCTTCGCTCGTCGTCGCAGGCTCCTCTTCGCTCGATGCTCCTCGCGTCTGGTCGCTCGTCGGTCGTCGGCCGTCGCTCGTCGGCCGTCGGCCGTCGGTCGTCGCCGTCGCTCGTCGGTCGTCGCCGTCGCCGTGCCGTCGTCGTGCTGCCTGCCCCTTGCGCAGTACCCGCGCATGCGCGGCCCGGCCCCGCCGCGCGTCCCCCGCGCCTCTGCGCCGCGGTGCGCCGCCGCCGCGCAGTGCTGCGGGCCCCCTTCGGTGCTGCGGTGCCCTCCCGCTGGCGCGCTCCGCGGCCTGGCCTCCCCGCGCACGCGCCGCCTGAAGGTTACGTGCTCGCGCGTGCCTCCTCCTCGGGCGGCCCTTCTGGGCCTTCGAGCCCCCGCGAGCTCCGACCCTGGACATCCTGGTGCCTCTGCCCCTTCAAAGACTTCCTCACACACACACACACATACCTGATCCCTCCTCCTCCTCCTCCTCCTCCTCCTCCTCCTCCCCCTCCTCCTCCTCCTCCTCCCCCTCCTCCCTCCTCCTCGCCCTCCTCCTCCTCCTCCTTCTCCTTCTTCTCCTCCTCCTCCCTCCTCCTTTCCTCCTCCTCCTCGTCACACACACACACCTTCTCCCTTCTTCTCCTCCTCCTCCTCCTCCTCCTCCTCCTCCTCCTCCTCCCCCTCCTCCTCCTCCTCGCCCTCCCCTCCTCCTCCTTCTCCCTTCCTCCTCCTCCTCTTCCTCCTCCTCCTCGTCACACACACACACACACACCTTCTCCCTTCTTCTTCTTCTCCTCCTCCTCCTCCTCCTCCTCTTCCTCCTTCACCTCTGGCAGGTGACCCGCTGCTCGTGCACAGGGCATTCCCCTGGCACTCCTGGCACTCCTCGGCTGGCCTTCGCGGTCTGATTGGGCCTCGCCCTGTCTCCGATCTCGTCTTTTGCTCTTTCGCTTCGTGCCCGTTTTTGCTTCCAGTGTAGCCCATCGTTCGCTGTGACCAGCGCCTGACCGCCGCGCTCACCCTGGCGTCCGCTGACCAACATACCCGTCCGGCCCCTCTCCTTTCTGGGCCGGGGCCCCGCCTGTCTCTTTTTATTCTTTTTGCTTTTCTCCTCCCCTCCCCCCGTCCTGGGCCGGCGTCCACTGCTACAGCAAGGCGGCTTTTTCTTCATGATTGCCGCCCCCGCGCCTGCAGACAGCTAGTGGGTGGCACGTCTTTGTGTCTTGCCCCGTACTCGCCTTCGTGCCGGCCTCCCCTTCGGTGTCGTTCCCCCCCCCCGTGTTGCCTTCCGATTCTGAACTTTCTCCGCGGTGAGTGCCCTCCTCCCCCCTGTCCTTCGCGGCCGCCGGCCGAGCGCCCCCGGCTACTCGAACGCGCGCTCGCATTGCCCCTGCCCCGCGGCGACGGAGGAAAAGCTGCCTCCCCGTGCGAGATCGGCGTTGAGGGCGCCGCGCTGCGCTTCGAGGCTTGCGCGGCCCGTGTGCGCCCCCCTCTGCGGCCGCCCTCTGCCTCTCCGCGCGCCGCTGCGTGCGGAGTGATCTTGCTGCGACCCAGTTTGAGCATCGACCGCGCTTCGCGGTCCCTGGCGCCGCGAGAACAATCCCTTCCTTGTTTGCTCGCTCGTAGGCGCACTTCGCGCGCGCGCGCCGTCGGGGCGCGCGCGCGGAGCTGGTTGATGCGGCTCCAGCCAGCGCAGCGCCGCCCTTCAGGAATGTGGCGGCGGCCCAGCAGGCCCAACGACAACCTTTTTGCGGCCGGGGCGCCGAATCGGCATGCGCTGCGGATCTGCCGCCCGGGCCGTGTACACCTGCTGGAGTTCTTATGCACGAGGCACACAAAGTGACATATTCGCTTGGCAGAGGTTGCCTCATGAGAGTTTTTCATCTCCAGATGGGTCCGCAGGACCCCCTGGTGCTTTGCGAGGGGCATAGTCGACGAAGGATGTGCCCCTGAATCTCTTATGACACACTTTCATTTATGTACCTACTGTATTTGAGGGCCTCCATCGGCAGCGCCCACCGATGGACCCGCGTGCCGCGCTAGCGTCTGAGTCAGGGGGGGAGGTAAAACGGCGGGGGGGAGGATGAGGATAGGGAGGAGGAGGATGAGGAAGAGAAGGAGGAGGAGGAGAGGAAGAGGAGGAGGAGGACGACCAGTGTAAACCCAAGAGTCATCAACGTTGTTGGAATAAACCGTCCCTGCAAGCTCCCTGTTCACATGCCCCTACAACGATTCATTTCCATTGAGGGAACTGCGTCGTTGGATCACAACCGTTCGAAGACCCTGAAGCATGCCAAAACATGGTTCTCGGGATTCCAACGCCACATATCAACTTTACTGTTGCGTTTTGACGATCCTGAATCGTGCCACAACGCCATTCTTGGGACTTCAGCACCGCGCACCAATGTAATTGTTGCACCCGCAAAATCCGGAATTCTTCCAACACATAATTTCTGGTACTCTTATCATGGGGATCCGTGATCTTCTTGTAAGTTTTATGAACGAATGTGCGCGACGCTGGGGCGGGAACCACATATTGAAAGGGAGCCGCCCTCAATCCGTGAAGCTCTGGCAAATTTTTAAAACGAACGTACGCGGCGCTAAGGCGAGAGCCACATTTGAAGACTTGTCGCCCTCAACCTGTGAAGCTCTTGCAACTCTGATAAACGAATGTGCGCGACGCTAAGACGAGAGCCACATTTTGAAAACCACCCGCCCTCCATCTGTGAAACTGTTGCCAATGTTAAAGCTTCAGGGCCATATATAATGTGAGGAAGTCTCATGCCCGGCCCGTCCTAACGACTGGCCTCGGGGTGCGACGGGGAGAAGTTATCTCACAGAAAAAAGAACTGAGCAGGAGGATGAGAAGGAGGACGAGGAGGAGGGGGCCGGCGACAGAACCCTGTGAGCCTCGTCACCAGCGGAGAGCCACAGCTCGCGCATTCAGTCCGAATGTCTCGCGAAAGGTGCTCAAGATCCTTTAAGAAGCCCCCCCCCCCCGTCCCAACCTGTCCGACGCCCCTTGCCCCCCCCCCCCCCCCCCACGCGCCCCAAACCTGCCCCCTCCTTCTCCTCAACCTCCCCGCGCCTCCCGAGGGACAGCGGTCCCCCCCTCCCGCGATCCACCCCCCACGCTTATTGAGGAGGAGGGAGGAGGAGGAGGAGGAGGAGGAGGAGGAGGAGGAGTAATGGAGTAATGTTTCATTTTGGATTGGGGGGGATCGGACGTCTCCAGAGGTGTTCTCTGACCAGCGAGGGCGTGCGCGCGCGCGGCCGCGAGCGTCCGGCCGGAAAATCTCGATCTGGAGTTGCCGGCACTTCCGCAGCGCGTTGCGCTGCAGTGCGTGTCAGCCACGCGCACAAGGGGGAAGGGGGAAGGGGGGAGGGCTTCTCAGAAGCACCCCTGCCTCTTAGAAGGCGCGGGCCTCATCTACAGATGTGAGGCCGGCGCCTTCTAAGAAGCACCCCTGCTTCGAAGAAGCCTTCCCCTCCCTCCACCCCCCTGTGCGCGCCGCCAAGCATGCGAGGTCCGCCACGGTTGCCCCCAGCGGGGCGCAGTTCGCTCAGGAGCCGAGTCTGCCGAGCTTCTGGGGGGCACAGAGGGCCACCATGGTTTTCGGGTGTGCTCGGGGGTGTCCTGGAGGGTGGAGGAACAGAGCGGAGGAGGAAGACTGACAGGGGGGGTTAGGACGAGATTACTTTGGCGATGGCGAGGTTGAAGATGGCGGAGATGATGACGATGACGATGACGACGACGAGGAGAAGGAGGAGGATAACGGATGATGATGGTGATGAGGATGGGTTGTCGTCGTCGTCGTCGTCGTTGTCGTCGTCGTCGGTCGTCGGTCGTCGGCCGTCGGTCGTCGCGCCGGCGCTCCAAGGCCCAGCCACCGTGCAGGCGGCGTGGGCGGCGACCCCGCCGTGCGTCTCCTTCGCGCCGCCGCAGGTCGGCTTCCCTCCGCGGGGGCTCCGGGGTGAGGGATGACCGAGGGCCGCGGATCGCTGGGGGATGATCGAGAGCATCTGATTGACCCAAGAGGGGTTCCAGCGACAAGGGGGTGATGCAATAGATTTGGTGCAATAGATTTGTGGGGTTGCAACAGATCTGGGGTGTGTAATACATTCCAGGCCGCAAATGTATTGTTGGGCTTTCGCGTGCAATGCATTATTTGCAATACAATGCAATACAATTTTCTGGCGCAGTACATTTTCAATGCAATTGCCCCAAACCTATTGCCCCACCCCCTTTCAACTGGACCCCCTTTTGGGTCAACCAAAGAAGAGCTTTCCTGAAGCCCCAGATCGGCTTCTGTCGGAGATTGATAGACCTCCTACCCTGACACGTCGATCAGCGAATTGGCCGTTTTCGGTTCGCGAGAGAGCGTCACGGCCATTTCTTCTCTGGGTCCAGGTCCGTCGGTTTCCATTCTAGGCCGTTTTCGCTAAAAAGGAGGTTTGCTAAATGGAGGTTTGTCCACCGCCGATTCTGGCGACCTGGGGGGCTGAAGGGGCCCCCACGGGGCCCAGCACTATCCCAGAAGAGCCACGGCGGAAACATGCCTCTGCCTCTGCCTCTGCCTCCTGCCATGCCGCCGACGACGCCAGTTCTTGGACCCCCCTCCCGGGGACCCACACCCTGGCGGCCAACTCTCCGCCCCAGCTCGACTCCTGGCGACCGAAGAGTGCTCCCCAGGGGCCGGTTTCTCATCCTGCGTCGTTTTTTGACGGCCCCGAGGCCCGGCGAGGGCCCCCGGATGCCGAACGTGGCGAAAAACTTCCCGCCACGATTTCTTCATGGCTCGAGGGGGGTCTGGGAGAGCAGCTCAAGCCGGTGCCCAGGGGGCCTGGCTCTCATGCTCTTGGCCCTCCTAACTTGGGTTCCTTCCTTCCTTCCTTCCATCCTTCTCCTCCCTCCCCTCCTCCTCCTCCTCCTCCTCCTCCTCCTCCGCCCAGAAACTTTCCCCAGGAGCCACGGCGGGACCACGTCCGGCCTCAGTCCCGGCGCCCAGCGGCCCCGGGCGCCCCAGCGCTGGGGCGCGAGTGGGCCCTCCCCCAGCGAGCCTGGGCGGCCCTTGTCGTAAGTCGGGCCTGTCCCTCTGCAGGAGGAGTCCTCGAAGAGAGTCAGAACATTTTCTGAGGACAGTTTTTTTGCTCTTTCTCTTTTTAGGTACTTTTGGGCTCCTTAAGGGTATCTTTTGGGTATTTGTCAGTGTTCCTCCAAAATCCGCCGGCAGGGGGACACGCCCGCCTTCATCCTTGTCCTCCAGCGCTCCGCGATCCTCGAGAATCCTTCCGAAGCCCAGCGTCGCTCCCCATCTGAAAGGCAACGTGGGGGGGTGTACCAGCTCTGGAGGGGAAACAGCGACCAGGAAGGAATTTGCGACGCACCGCCGACGGATCGGCGATATGCCCCCGATGGCAAACCCGCACGTTCCCGGGCGGGGTGGGGCTGTTGGGCCAGTCGGCGATTATTGGGCGATTGTGGGTCGGTGCATCCCCCCTGAGCTTATCTCCTATCTCTAGAAGGAGAAATCAGCATAATCATCAACTTTCGGAGGTCCATGCGGATTTCTTGGATCGGCGCTGGACCCTCCTGGCGGCGCCTCCGGCTCCGATCCAAGACATCAGCGGGGAGCTCCCAAAGTTCATGTTTGTCATCCGAATCGGTTTGCCTACGTCACTCTTGGCTCCATCCCTGGAGAACTGGTCAAACTGTGCCCCCCCTACCTTGCCCTTGCAATCGTCAAACTATCCGCATGGCTTCCTCTGTATCTGCATGGCTTCAGCTATCCGCACGGCGGACGAGGAGGAGTGGCTGCATACGTTGAGGGAGGCATGGCGGGGCATGCTGTGGCACCGAGGGGTCAAGGACAGGGGTCATCAATACAGAGGTGCACTGGAGGTTGATTGGCGGAAGACAATGGCGCTACACGACGATTTACTGCGAATTGCAGAGGGTAGAGATGATTCCCAGGGGACGGAGTTGGGAGAGCAGCAGGCTACAGAGGAGGAGTACCAGGTTATCGATGCGGCCATTGAGGCGAGAATCAAGCTGGGCGTGCTGCGGCGTATTTTGGCGGGTGGTTTGCTGACCAATGAGAGGATGACAAGACATAGAGAGGACGGTGGGACTACTGAGTGCTACTACGGGGCTAAGGAGGCGACCGTCGAGCATGTTGCTTGGGAATGGCCCTGGCATGCGTCGGAGCGGGAGAGCGATGTCGTCTATGCCGGATTCGCACACTGGATGTTTGTACCCGTTACGCTGCAGGTATTCCAGTGTACAGCCCTCTCAGTGTACTGCAGGTGAAGAGGCTACAGAATTTCATGGTGTGTGTGTGTGTGTGGGGGGCGGGAGCAAGTACGTTTGTGGTATGGTGCCGGGGATGTAGTTGCGACGGCGATGGCAGCTGAGGCGAAGGGCGATCGTGTACAGATCCAGGAGAACGGACACCATATAGAACCGCTGGTGGGAGCTGAGGGCCCGTGGTGCCGAACATGTCGGCGGTATGCTACGAGAGTTCAACACGTGCGCCTCAAGATTACCAGCAGGCCGTGCCCATATGCAGAGTTGCCGCTGGATAAGTGGATGGACAAGGAGGGGGCGAGCACATCACAGGCTCGATTGGACGACGCAGAGCGCGAGATGAATACTACATACAACAAGGGGTACCATAAGTTGGGGGAAGGGATGAATCCCCTGACGAGGGCATCATCAAGCGTATGACGTGTGAGAAACAATGGAGGTGGAAGGGCAGAGTTGCAAAACTACCGTGCGCGGAAGGCGTACAGGCACAAAGCAGCAGCAATGGGACAATTTCTGTGGTACCCAGACGGGATCTGCTGAAACCCGTGGCGGACGAGGAGGTAAAGGAGGAACGGGTAGTGCACTTGCAACAGTGCCTGCTGGAAGACTTGCGGTCGGATTCAGAGGTAAAGGAGGAGGTGCCAGAGGAGGAGGAGGAGGAAGAGGGGGAGGAGGAGGAGGAGGAGGAGGAGGAGGAGGAGGAGGAGGAGGAGGAGGAGGAGGAGGAGGAGGAGGAGGAGGAGGAGGAGGAGGAGGAGGAGGTAGAGGGGAGAATGCAAAAAGAGGCAAAGGACATGCAACGGGTGGTGGAGGTAAAAGGCGAGGACCGACGGGGGACTATTTCGCTAACGTGCAGCTGGACGGAGGACATGCGACGGGTGGTGGAGGTAAGGGCGAGGTGGAACTGAAGGTGGAGGAGGTAGAGGCGGAAAAAAAGGGTCAGGGACGGCCAGGGGAGGGGGCGAAGGACGCAGCGACGGCCCCCACGGCAGCAGCCGCAGCAACACCAGCGTCATATTCTGGAAGGAGGACGGGTAGGAGGGGGCAAGGCGTCGCCATCCCGAAGCACGACGAGGGCTAGGGGTGCTGTCGGTTTGGGCCTTCAGGCTGCGAGCCTGGTTGCTCAGGCAAGTACCAAGTTCTGCTATTCGTGCGGCTTCTTCTGCATCCGCATAGTTTCATATGCTATCCACATGGCTTCCTGTGCATCCACATGGCTTCTTGTGCTATCCGCAGAGTAAGTGTACTCAAGTAGAGTAGAGTACATGATTCGACTATATTATCATAAACCAGAACATGTAACAATAGAGTGGGGTATGTGAGAGGAGAGGAAATTATAGCACGATCATTTGCGATGAAGTAGGCGTAAAACAGTGTAGTAATAGTAATAGTAATAGTAATAGTAATAGTAATAGTAATAGTCGTAGTCGTAGGCGTAGTCGTAGTAGTAGTCGTAGTCGTAGTCGTAGTCGTAGTCGTAGTAGTAGTAGTAGTAGTAGTAGTAGTAGTAGTAGTAGTAGTAGTAGTAGTAGAAGTAGAAGTAGTAGTAGTAGTAGTAGTAGTAGTAGTAGTAGTAGTAGTAGTAGTAGTAGTAGTAGTAGTAGTTAGTATAGTTAGTAGTAGTAGTAGTAGTAGTCGTAGTAGTAGTAGTAGTAGTAGTAGTAGTAGTAGTAGTAGTAGTAGTAGTAGTAGTAGTAGTAGTAGTAGTAGTAGTAGTTAGTAGTAGTAGTAGTAGTAGTAGTAGTAGTAGTAGTAGTAGTAGTAGTAGTAGTAGTAGTAGTAGTAGTAGTAGTAGTAGTAGTAGTAGTAGTATAGAGTAGAGTAGAGTAGAGTAGAGTAGAGTAGCGTAGAGTAGAGTAGAGTAGATTAGGGCAGGGTAGGGTAGAGTAGGGTAGGATAAGGTAGAGTAGATCACAGTATATTCGGTCAGTTGAGTTCCGTAGAGTAGAGCACAAGAGAGTATATCCGAGTAGGTAGAGTAGGAGTAGACTAGAGTATAATAAGCATAGAGTAGAGTCGAGTAGAGTAGAGTAGGGTAGGGTAGGTTAGAGTAGAGTATTATGATATAGAGTAGATCAGGGTAGAATAGAGTAGAGCAGGGTAGATGGGAAAGTAGTCCCGGTATCTTAAAGTGGGGAGAGTAGAGCCCACCCAAGTCCAGTCTAGCCTATTCCAGCCCAGCCTACTTCAGTCCACTTCATGTCAGCCTGTTGATCTATTTGGCGTTTGCGCTGGTCGAGATGCAGTTTTCTTTTTTCTTCTGGTTAACGGGAAGATCCGTTCAGAGGGGATGCGCCGACCCCCAATCGCCCAATGATCATCGGGCCTATCGCCGATCCGTTGGCGATATGTCGCCGGTTCCAGGTCGTTGTTCCCCCTCCTGAGCTGGACCCCCCAAACATTGCACCTCAGACGAGGAGCGACGCTGGGCTTCGGAAGGGCCTCCGAGGATCGCGGACCGTTGGAGGACAAGGACCGCCCAGGGTCGGTGGGGGAAGGTGCGCCCAGGGTCGCTGGGCGCCGGGGTTGAGGCTGGACATGTTTCCGCCGTGCTCTTTTGGGAAAGTTTCTGGCCCCTCGGGGGCATTCTTCGGTCGCCATGAGTCGATCTGGGGTGGAGAGTTGGCCGCCAGGGTGTGAATCCCCGGAAGGGGTCCAAGAACTTACGTCGTCGGCGGCGAGGCAGAGGCAGTCCGCTTCAGCGTACGGCTATGCGGGGCAAACGAAAGGCTCATTGCCCTGCGTGCAACAGTGGGGGATCAAGACGAGCGCGGCCGCGCGGGGGGGGGACGGGGAGGAGAAAGCGCTCAGACGTGGAAGAGTTCCGCGTAGAGCGGAATCGGGGTCCAAGAACAGACTTCGAGCGGGTTTCGGGGTCCAGGGCTGGGGAATCGGGGGCAGGTGAGGGGGGCCAGCTCGGGTCAGCCAGTCTCCTCGAATCCCCTCTGACTGGCCCGCGCTTGAGAGCCATTGTGGAGTCACCCCTCGCCCCCCATCCTGCGGCTGACCTGGATGTGGGAGCTCCTTGGATTTGGCCTGGGCTCGATGAAAAATTGGACAGGATGAGCCTGGATTGGGCCAGGGAGAAGGAGGAGGAGTTTGGACGTGGAGGGGGGAGCACAGTAAACGCAGTACCAACGATGCTCCAATGCACCCTCCAGTCCCCTCCTCCGAGGTCCCTAAGGGTATATCCTTCCTTTGAGGGAAGCGCCTCCCTTGATGGACGCGCGGCCGGTGGCCTTGCCACTGAGGCAAGGCCCTGTTATGTGAAGCATCCACCCTCCATCCTTCTAGCTTGAAGTCGGACCTGTCCCTTCTACAGGAGGGAAACTCAATAATAGTTGACTGTTTTGACAAGTCTGCGGTATTTTTTGACTATGTTTTGTTTTTCGTCCGAAATCCGCCTGTAGGATGACACGCCCGACCTAATTCTAGCTGAGGGAACGCATGGAGGTAGGTCGATCAAGCTCAAGGAGCTGTCCGTCGATAGCCCCATTTTGAGAAGGAGCCGCACTCCACCTGTGTCACATGGCCTCCAATTGTTTGCACGATTTGGAATATCGGGTCATACAGTGTTACTGAATCTCAAGTCGTAGCCGCATTTAGAAGCGGACGGCCTCCATCCTAGTAGCTGCTGGACGCTTCCAACACGAATGCGGGCGGCGCCAGGGC